AAATTGACATAATTATAATTTATCATGCAGGATATTGCAAGAAACAATACTTCAATACACAATGAAGGGGCATATATAATATAGGACATGTGTGTTCTTTCATTATCAAGTATCAATATGCATTAATTCAAAGAAACATATTAATCCAATTTACAGCAAATTCAATTTGTGTCAACAAAAGTATTGGTAAGAATAGAAAGTTTCATTACAAGGAGGAGCTAAATAACAAATTATTTTGCAGGAATGTTGGGCTACATCAATTGAAAGAAGAACATAAAATTATGATGAAACAAACATGATTGATGAAGACGATTTTTCTTGTGAAGAGTGTTGTAATCCATGGAGTCAAGACATATTTGATAAAATGAATCTTCAAACAGTAAGTGTGTGCTACAATGATGCTAGTTTAGTTAATATTTATTTTTCCAACAATAACCTAAACACTAACACAATTGTTTATTATACAAAATTGATTATGCATGAAGCTATTGGATCAGAGGATCAACGACACATCTCAAACCAGGAAACTGGTACAAATCAGAATGTTAATGATGGACTGCGGTAGCCAGAAAACATTGACAACAACAATATAAATGAAGAAGACATAGAAATATTCTGGAAAAATGAAACAGAAAGAAGAAAGGCTAAATGATGGAGCAGATATTGATGACAAGTACATACCAAGCATAGGAATGCAATTCAAAACCGCAGATGAAGCACAGAGATTCTGCGACGAGTACTCTTACATGGCTCAGTTCTCCCTGGTGGTTGCAACCAATTACCGGACTACAAGTAAGAAAAGATCGGTGTTGTGGTCCAAGTAATAGAAAGAGGAAGGTGTTGTGGTCCAAGTACAACATTGAATGACAAGGACAAGAATTATACAATAAAGCCATTTTGTTAAATTCCAGCGAGAGCTACAGGATACAACAGCACTACAAACTGAAGTAATTGAAAAGGATGAGTTGTTTCAAGTATTTGTGGATGAAAATCAGCCACTACAACCACATCGAGTGAGGAAGTACCTTGTTCTTGTTAACTTACAAGAGAAAGAATACAACTGCATATGTGGGAAATTCAACAAAGATGGGATCCTATGCTCTCACATTCTAAAAATAATGCTTGAACTGAAGATTAAAGAAATTCCAAAAAAGTACATAATAGATAGGTGGAGAAAGAATGAAAAGAAGATGAGTAAAGAAGTACCTGTGCTAACTCAAGCAGATAGCAGCACCCTGAGGTTTAACAACCTGTCTAGATGGCTTGTCACAATTGCATCAAAAGGGTCAAAAAAAAAAGAGATAGTATGAGTATATGTTTGAGATTTCAAAAGTCCTAGAGGATCAAATGGATATGGTGGCTGATCCAGGAGGTGAACAAATCAATATACAAGTGCTTAGCCAGCTATCTCAAAGACTTTTGACATTGGCAACAAAAAAAGTTGTAAAAACAGAGTCGAAAGTTTGGATATTTGCTTGAAGCTACAAAAATTATGGAAGACGAAATACAATCACTCGAGGAAGAAGATGTCCAGTTTCAGCTCCAAAATGAAGTGAATACTTCAACAAGCATCACTAATGGAGTAATACATGGACAAGAAAACAACAACACAAATAGTATACAAAATCCGTAAAGGGTGAAGAGCAAAGGAAGACAAAAAAAGAGGAAGAGGTACCTAACAATAGTAGAAGCAAAAAAAAGAGAAGGCAAAAAAGAAGAAATCAGCCACAACAACAAAGAAGAAATATCAAGTGCAAAAGAAGACAAAGGGATACAACAAAACAAGGTAATTAAAAAGTTCATAAAAAGGGCGTACCCAGTGCAGAGAGCTCCCGCTCTGTGCAGGGTCTGGGGAAGGGTGTCAATGGCAGTTCATACTACCAAAAAAATGTATCTGTTGAAGGACTGCAATACTTATTATTAAGATTTACTATAACAGAGAAGATCAACACAACAAAGGAAACAACTCAACGAAAAGGCAATAGATAGAAGAATGAAAAACATCGGATTGACAACAAGATTGAAGACCATTCGAAGAAATATCAAAAAAATCATAATATTATGACAAGACATGTAATATTAAGTTATGAAAAAGCTGAGAATTGATATCACAAACATTTTGTGTAATGCTGCTATGAGTACTGTAACTTTTCATATTTGTTTGATATAATCTCTGCAGTACATGTGAAATGCACTCCTTACACGGATTTAACTCCACATTAAATCTCCAGCCATGTATCTAACTAATTACATAAAGATTTGTGATTCAAAAAACCTCCAAAACAAAATACCAAGAAACTAATTACAGACACGAGGATCAATGTCCTGCAAAAAAAATTGAAGCAACAATAAAAACATGTACTCACATAGCATATATGTAGTATGAATAGCAAAAAGTACCTACTTATAGAAGTTCATTACAAGAGATTTGTCAATAGAATTTCCTTTGCTGAAGAATAAATCAACTGCAAGCTTCACCCTTATGTTTGGGATATCAGATTGGTCAAACATATGCCTGAGGTCAATATTTTTGTCCCACAACTCCATAAACTTCACAGCAAATATACCACAATCAACACTGGAAAAAAACAAACAAAATGTCAATAACCCAAAAAAATGCATGATCCAATATTATACAATACTATATAACATGTAAGGTTCAGGATCAATAAAAAAAACTATAACTGATTATTGGATTGTATTTTATAAACCAGAAACCAGCATGTAGGCAATTCTTTCTTATAAAACACTTAAGTAACCCAAACTAAAGCAGCTTAGTAGACAACATGTGAGGTTCAGATTTCAAAATATCAGTCCAGATATGTATCTGGACATGTACATATGTATGATTTCAGACATCAACTAAGCACACCTAATCAGACCACACTACAGCCATGAGTCAAGAAGCTGAATATAGACCCATTCAGAGAACCACAGGCCTCATTCAAACTGACTCAATGAGGCAAAGCACATTGCAATTGCAACAGGCCATCACACAAACTATTCTCATACCGGTAGTATACATCGTAAATAAAAAGAGAGTTTAGAGCAAATTTCAATTTCAGTGCATAACTTAATCTAACATTAGTAGTACTTGATAACCAAACAGGAACTTCTAATTATAGACTATAAAGCACCACCGTAAAAACATTTAAAGATACTTGACTGAAAACTAAAACTAAAAAACAATGAAAAAAGCTTGACTAAAAACTAAAAAAAACATTGAAAAAAGTATTATTCATTTAACTGAAACCAAAAGAAACAATGAAAAAAACTGACTCATTCAATTAGAAACTGAAATTACTGAAATAGATTCTAGTGGGCTAAAACAGGCTATTCGTTTTCACATGTGAAATTAGCAGGCAAGACACTGGCGAAGAAACCAGCACACCATCATTCGAGAGAAACTTTTAGGACATTCAGAAACTTATACTTGAACAAAACATAATAAAAAGAAAAAAGACTGAAATACGAAACACAACCTGAACTTATACTGAAATAGATTTTAGTGGGCTAAAACTAAATTATTTGAACCGCATATTACACATGACTTGAACTGAAGAAAATTGAAAATAAGTTCTACTAAACTAATACTGAACTTGAACTGAAGGTACAAGAAAAAAAATAGAAGAAAATCAAATATGTTATAATAATCAGATTCTACCTAATTAGTATGTTAGCATTTTTTTCTCTAATGCTCCTACAACAAGTATGAACGTGCAAGACATGTGAATAAATGAGGCTCAGATACGGCTCTATCATCAGTCAAGAATTCTCAGAAGCAGCACTGGCGTTTTAAGCTGAATGGTTGTATCATCACTGACAGATCAATTACATGAGCAGAGATGGTGATTCTGATGCATATAAAACAACTAAAATGAAGGGGCAGGTGGCTATTTTCTTGGACAGCTCATATTAAGAAATTCAACCATTATTTTTCCACTGCTTCACGGGTTAGATCAAAGCGCGGTTAATGTCAAATCACTGCCACCAATCAAACGAACAAAGCAAATCAAAATATCACAAATACTCTAAATGACAAAGATGCTATGAATATTTGTATCCATTCCTTTGACACAGACCGATCAAAAAGATTTTTCAGGTCCTGCAACACTGAATGGCAAGCTAGATCTAGCACATGCATTGGGGCTTCCTTCTTCAAAGGGTACAAATCCGACAAGCCCGGGGTTACCACCATGCAGCAATCTAATACAATAGTCTAGACCCTTCGAATCGCAAATGGGTAACATCAAAAACGAAAAGAAAAAATTACTGAAAAAAGGGGGAACACACGGATCTGTGGTCAAGCAACAATCACATTGCCTACTGGGGCGAAGGAAGGAGAGATTTGGGGATGACAGATGCAACCGAGAACGACGGAGGGAGAGAAGAAGACTCACCTCAGTATATGAGGCGGACAAATAGCGACGGGCGACGGTAACCACAGAACTGACGAAAACAGCAACGAACGAGGCGCAGACAACAAACAAACTGCGGCGCGGGAGGGAGAGGCTCAAATGCGGACGAGGCCACCGGAGCAGGGATGACAGCAGCGGACAAGGCGAGCGGAGCAAGGAAGATAGCGGCGCATTTGGCGAAGCGAAGCAAGAGCGACGATGTGGCAGATAAGGCGCGGCGGGCAGGGGGCGACACCCATGACGAGGCGAAAGGCGGAGCAGGGGAAAATGAACCGGATTCCCAATTCAAAACAGCGAAGGCACTACACACGGTGGGCGGCGCCGACAAGATGACCCCACAAGGCAGTGACATAAAAAAAATTGTGTGCCAGGAGGAGGAGAAACACATGTGTGCTCTATAGCATTCCTGATATTAAAAGCCTATACAGATACAATGCAAAGGATGAAGCACATATAGAGTAATCGGTAAATTCATGAAAAGATATCTTGGGAGGACTATCATCCCCACTTGTAAAAGCTCTCGCAGGAGCTGTCCCTGCCAATGCCACGGCAGCAGCAATGCGTACGTCTTAGAACCGTAATTCATGCCTTGATGGCCTCAATGAACATGTCGAAGTTGCGGTGCGACGAGCCCCCATGGTTGATGCTCTCATGCGCAACCTTCTTCAAGGCCTCCACCCTCTCCCTCATGCCCGCGTCGCTCATCAGCTCCTCCACCCTGCCGGCGATGTGCTCCTTGGTGATGACGCCTGCCTCGTCGGCCTCGGCCCGGAGCCCGACCTTCCAGACGTCGCAGATGTACACCTGGTTGACGAACTGGTCGGCGAAGTATGGCCAGGCGAGGAAAGGCAGCCCGTTCCGGACGCCCTCCATGGTGGAGTTCCACCCGCAGTGCGAGACGAAGCAGGCCACCGAAGGGTGCGACAGCACCCTCTGCTGCGGCGACCACGCGACCACCATGCCGCGGCCGCTCGCGCCGCCGACGCGGTCGACGAAGCCGTCGGGGTAGTCGTGGACGTCGCCGCCGAGGACGATGTCCGGGCGCACGACCCAGAGGAAGGGCCTGCCGGAGAGCTCCAGCCCCAGAGCGAGCTCCCGGAACTGGCGCGTGTCGAACATGGTGAAGCTGCCGAAGGCGACGTACACGACGGACCTCGCCGGCTGCGCGTCCAGCCACGACATGCACGCGTCGTCCTCGGGCCGCCAGAAGTGCCCCACCACCGCCGCCTTTTTGCGCTCGCCCGTGAGGAAAGGGCCGACGGGGAGGATCTGCGGGAACCGCGCGAAGGTCGCCTGCTCGGCGCCGTGGAAGGAGTTGCAGAGGATGAAGTCGCACTTGTCGACCGCGCGGACGCTGGCGATGAGGCACCGGAACATCGCCGCCTGCCCGTGCTGGTTGCCTATGCAGTTCCAGGCGAGGTGCGCCGTCTGCATCACGGGCATGTCCGGGGACAGCTGGAACGTGCCTTGGCTCAGTGCAGACCCTGCGTTATCATTTGCAGGTGTATACTATTTTAGTTTACTACAACACACACACACAGACACACACGTGTACCATCTTCTGGGTCGATGATGTTGTCCTGGACGAGCTTGTCGATGCTGAGAAGGCTGGCCAGCAAGGCGGCGGAGGCCGGCCAGATGGCGGCCGACTTGACGCCGGTCCTCCGCGCGACGTCGAGCGCCCACATGCCGAGGTTGTAGTCCGCCACGACGCAGGTGATGGGCCCGTAGCCCTCCGCGTCGCCGCCGCTGCGCCTGATGAGGTCCTCCACCCGAGGCGCCATGTGCTCCGCCATGAGCAAGGTCAGCCTGACGAGGTTGTTCCGGTCCTCCCCTGGTTCCATGCCGTCCGGCACCGCCACCAGCCGGATCCTACTACTCCGGTCCAGCAGCGACGACTCGGTGGCGGCGGCCACGACGCGGCGGTGGTTGAACTCCGAGTTGGCGAAGGTGACGGTGAAGCCCCGGTCGACCAGCGCGTGGGCGAGCTCCAGTAGAGGTATCACGTGGCCCTGCGCTGGGTAGGGGATGACGAGCGCGTGAGGGGGAGGCGCCATGATTGGTTCTGCGCACGGTATCTTTGCCACTTACGCACGCACTCACTTAAGCTGATGCTAACTGAGTTGTTAATGATCACTGGAATGATTGCTTGGGTATTATATAGAGTGTGAGATGTACGTGCACACACGCACTAGATGTCTGCCTTGGTTGATTCTTCTGCTCAACAAACCGGCCAATCATCGCGTGTCTTGTAGTATTATTCTGTAGAGATACAAGCGAAGGCGAAGCATGCATGCCATTTGCCCAGTTTCGGCCTTATTTGTTCTCTGTCAGCACTCAGCAGAGCACTGCGTTGGATTGATTATGATGGAGTTCCTTGTGAATATCGCTGCATAGTTTTGAGACGAATCCGAGAAGGTATATAGCAGCACTTGCTTTGGCAGGCTGTATGCGAAGCACTTGTCAAGTCCTCCTGCCTGCAGCGAGTCTGCATCATCAGGCCTGCACTTACGTAGTTCATGTCGTTTTGGAGGCAGCACAAAGGGCGTCAGCCAATACGCACACATGCACAGAATATGAGCGAATCCAGGCGTACGAGATGCCCGAAAGAAGATTTTCGTCGTATTGGAGTGTCGCATGCAATATATTGTTGTTCTGCCCTGACCTTGGGTTCACAGTCCTATCAGTGTTAGGAAACTAGTGATTACGTTTGCTAAGATTCTGTGGGGGATTATGGCCCGTTCGCTTCGCTGAAAAAACAAGCCGAAACACTGTTCCAGTTGATTTATTGTAAGAGAAAAACACCAATCCAACTGAAAAAACAAACTGAAAAAGATGGATCAGGGCCTATAAGTAGCATAAGCCATACTTTTGCCCTCTTCGTTTTACTGAAATTTGATTTATGCTGATTTTTTATGAGAGAAAACATTGTTCGTTCGCTGAAAAGTACTGTCGATGTAGTGCTGCAGAACAGGGTCCTGTAATCCCACATAATCTTAGCAAACGTAATCACTAGTTTCCTAACACTGATTGGACTGACCCCTAAAACGAAGATGCCTGCCTGCTCCTGGGCCCCGGCACTCTGGCAGCAAGCATATAAGGCAATAAGTTTTTTTTTTTGGGTGGAAGAAGTATCTCTACCACCTGGCGGGAAGACCGAAGACCTGTAGCTGTGTTAACGGGCCCAGCCGGTCGGGCCACTTGTATCTGTGAGGTTTACGATTATCCTAGGGCCTGGCCCACTCGTATCTGTTAGTTTCACTATGTAGGAAAAGAAAAAGTTTTCAGTTGGGCCGTAGAATAAGCCCAGGTTCAGGATTGCTCTGACACACATGCTAAAGAAAAGAACCCAACGAGCCAACAAACTGTTTTTTCGATCCATATATACATGCCGCTGCCGAGTGCCGAGGCTTGAAAGGCACATTTTTAGAACAGCACATTTTTTTTCGAGAAGGGCACAATCATCTGTTGCACAAGAAACAGTTCGTCAATCGTTTCAAAAAAAAAGAAAAGGAAACAGTTCGTCAATCAAACACAGAAAAAATCAGTACAATCGATTCACCAAAACAGAGAAACCGTCACGCATGTCATTGTATAGTAAGTATATAACCTTGATTGTTATTGCTGGTACATGGCAGAGACAAATTCGACAATTTAGAATCCAGAACATGCAAGAGCTCGACAAGACGTACCGAAGATATGCATGGCCACCATGGAGGCAGGCTAGGCCAGAATGCAGGATGAAGTAAGAAAATTAAGCAAAAGTACATCATGCATGCGCGAGAGCACCAGCAGCAGCAACGCAACTTGAAGAAGACGACGATGACGGCTATGTACGAGGACCACCATGTGCCATCTCACGCATCGCAGCTCCAGCAGGTGTAGGTATTTACTTGATGAACTCGATGGCCCAGGCGTTGGCGTAGATGTAGGTGGCCTTGAACCCGGAGAACCCGGCGCCCTTGGCGAGGTCGCGGAACTCGCGCTCGTACCGCTCCCTGCCACCGGGGTTATGCGCGAGCATGATCATGTCGACGTGGAACACGCCCTGCGCCTTGGGGACGGCCTCCGTGTTCACCGGCAGCACGCACTCGACGACGATCACCTTGCCGTTCTCCGGCAGCGCGTCGTAGCAGTTCTTGAGCAGCGTGGCGCAGTGCGCGTCGCTCCAGTCGTGGAGGATCCACTTCATGAGGATGGCGTCCCCGGCCGGCACCGACTTGAACATGTCCCCGCCGACGTGCTGCACGCCGGGGAACGGCGGCGCCTCCGAGATCACGTGGGGGAGGTCGAAGTTGACGCCCCTGATCTGCGGGTGGTGCGAGGTGATGGCGTGCAGGGTGGCGCCGATGCCGCCGCCCACGTCGACGAGCGTGGAGACGCCCTCGAAGCCCGTGTAGAACTCGAGGAGCTTCTTGGTGATGATCACGCTGTGGTTCTTCATGCCCTCGTTGAACACGCGGTTGAAGCGCGGGTCCGTGCCGTGGTACTCGAACGCCGTCATGCCGTACGCCTTGTTGAACGGGATGCCGCCGTCAAGCACCGCGTCCTTGAGGTAGTACCTGTATGGTTCATTTTGGAAAGGGATGTTACTACTTCTGAATGTGAGCAAAGTGATGGCGCAGAACAGGGCATATGCATGGGCATGGTAACTGCTACTTTTGTGGATACAACACAACACCATCCATACTCTGTCTCAATTCTCAAGTCACTGTCCAGTCTGAACATTTTAAACTAGTCAAAAATTGCCTGAAAAAAAGAACTGCTACAGATATCTGTACATGTTTCTAAAAGGAACAGGGCAAGAATCTATCAGCATCCTGCCCTGTGGTCCAACCGCCTCTTTACTACGCCCTCTTCACACACACCAAACACCAAACAATTTGGATGGCTGTCTGAAGATTCACCTTCAGCTGGTGAATGGCTGACTGAATGGAGTTTCGCCAAAAATCCAGATCAGCATGCATGGATCATTTTCCAACCCCCGTGGTTTTCCAAAAATTTTCAAGATTTCTCGTCACATAACCATGCATTAAGCATTAAATATAAATAAAAAATAAAACTAATTACACAATTTAGACGAATCTTTTAAGTCTAATTAGACTATAATTGGACAATAACTACCAAATAACAACGAAAGTGCTACGGTACCATTTAAAAAATTTCGCCACCTGAACAAGCCTTGGTTGGATCGGGGGAATTCAGAATCCCATGATCCATGTGAGCCGTCAAATCCGTCCGTCCAGTTTTATGAATCCGGCCGGAAAAAGGGGGCCAATACTGCTCCTTCTCCAAGGTTCGCCAAAGTGTCACTCTCACCCACTGGATAGTGGAGGAGACTAGTGCTCCTTGCTTACTTTTCCATCTTACTCCTATTTTTTATTTTAGGAAAAACTTGAGCTTACTTTTCTTTTTTGTAAAAAAACAAATCTTTTTTTTACTTTAGACAAATATTATATTATGGATAACTTTACTATGGCCAGACTTGTACTAGCAGCTACTACTAGTAGTGCACCTCAATTAATTCTACTGAACAAATTAAATGACAAAATAAATAAATACTAGTAGTAATGATGAGCGAGCTCATCATCATGCAGCACGCCAGCGGCAACAGCAACAACTGATCTAATCTACGGATGGTGAGGTGGGCGATGTGCTCATAACTACTCACCAGCTCTCCATGAGGACCTTGTCCTGGTTCATGAGCGCGAGCGCGGCCATGGAGACGCCGTCCTCGTTAGGGGTGAGCCACTTGCCGACGGGGGCCGCGGAGTACCGCCGCTCGTACTTGCCGTCCTTGTCCTCCATCTGGCACTTGACGACGTCGTAGGAGGCGAGGAGGCGGAGCATTCGGTCCACCATGTCCGCCGCGCCGGGGTTGGTAGGCGCCACGGGCAGCCGCGCCACCACCTCCTCGGGAGCCAGCGCCTTGCCGGACGGCGCCTCCGCCTGCAGCACCTCCAGCAGGCCCAGCTCCAGCGCGTTCTTCAGCGTCATGGGCAGGATGGACGACGACGCCAGCTGCATCGCGTACATGCACGCCTCCTCGTCCGCCACCGTGGCCACGTCCTCGGCGGTCGAGCCCATGCCTGACGACGGCCGGCCGGTGGGATACAAGGAGCGAGACGACCTTTTATGGTGGGCTTGAGGAGCTGAGCGAGCTTGGGAAGTGCCTGTGTGTGCTGCTGCGAAGAGGAAGGAGGAGGTGGGAGGGGGGTTATATGGGGCCGGAGAGCTCGCCAACCACCGCACCAAAACACGCAACCACAGCGGAAGTGGCTGTGAGTTGCGACCGGTGATGCCGTCGCGTGCGCTGAGAAAATTCAGTTCACTGGCTACAAAGTCTTCTGACCTAAATTCTCAAAAAGTGCTACAGTAGCTATCACATCAAATCTTACGATACGTGTATGAAACATTAAATATAGATGAAAAAAATGTAATTGTACAGTTTTGTTGGAAATCACGAGACGAACGTTTTAAACCTAATTAGTTCATGTTTAAACACTAATTGTTAAATAAAAACGAAAGTGCTACAGTGACCCAAAATCCAAAATTCAGCCAACTAAACACGGGCTCAGTGTGCATGCTAGCTCCATCTACCATCCATGACAGTGATGTAGTACATACTAACATACGGTGTTCTGGGCGTGTTTGATTTTCAATGCTGAATAACAGGACTATTATTTATCAGGGAAAAAAAATCCGACCGTTGTCGATTTTTCGCTTGGGTTTGCAACGTGCGAAGAATTTGGTAAATTTTGTGCACAAATCCAGCGAGAAATAAAATGATGAGCTGGACTTTAATTTGGGCAGTGCCCAGTAGGAGGGTGCAATAAGTGGCCCCACCTGTAGGTAGCCCGGAGGCCGGAGCGACTGACTGAGTACTGTTAAGTTTTTCCTAAGGCCTCGTTTAGTTGTCCGGAATCGGCCCCGCCCAAATACCGTAGCTTACTTAGCTTAGTGTAGCATTTTGTTTGTATTTGATAATAATTGTCTAATTGTTGACTAATTAGGTTTAAAACGTTCGTCTCGCAAAGTACAACCAAATTGTGTAATT